TTTAGCCAGGTACAACCATTCATGCAGAGAGAGTGCAATCATCTACAAAAAATAATAATAACAATATTAAATTTTTTTGGTTGGGAGACTAAAATTTTAGTTTTAAAATTTATACACCACAAAGGAAAATAATCCTCATGGCTAATATTTTTCATTTCTATTCTTTCTTTTTTCAAATCATTTTGGGTTAATTATTAGCAATGGGTGATAAATATTGGGCCAATTTTTCAAGTAATCGAAGATATGTATATCAGCATTATGATAACACTAAAGCCCTAGAGCAGCCAATAAGGTTAATAGGCCAAGAAATATGATTTGAACAGAAATGTTGAACCTATTACAGGATTTCAAAGTTTGTTGACTTCCAATCAACACAACAATGAAATAGCAATGTAAGAAATAAACAACTTTATCAAAATCCACACAAAGGATCAATACTGCTGATCATCACAGCTTTGTCTCCCGGATAATTTCAGAAAAGTGGATGGGTTGTTACCCTCGGTAGTTCCACCAACACCACCACCACCAACACCACCACCACCAGTCCCCGGCACGTTCAAGAAGCGTCCAAATTTGGGTGGTTCACCCAGAGATGTAGGCGTGGGCGCGGGGGGCGGAGCTTGGGGGGAAGCCCCGCCCTCCTCCACTGTCAGGGAAAATGGATGGTCAGAAGAACAGAAAATGGAGGAAAGAGCTGGTAAAAAGGTGAAAAAGCAAGAAATATCAAAGAAAAGAAGAAATGAGGGAATGCTAATCACCTGAGCATAATTATTTAAAGTAGAAGAGAGGAAAAAATTTTGGTGTTGGAAGATATTGTAGATGACCGTTTATAAAAATGTATTGTGGTTATAATGACTTCTATACTTGTTTCCAAGCAATGTCTTTAGTAAGTAATGCAAGAACATGAATGGAAAGGAAGAAACCAATTATCCAAAGAAAAGTGGAATCTGAATGTATTTTAAAAACCATTAAATGAACAAAAGAAAAGAAAGAAAAAAGTGGTCAAGGGTAGCTTTGTAGTAGCCTCAGCAAAAAAAAGGAGAGAACATAGAAAAGACAAATTACTGTAACAGCACAAAAGCAATGCCATAAAGCTTTTTTTTTATTGTGTTGTTAAAGACTGCAAGTACCCAAGTCTAGTTAGACACAGTGATTGGGGCTTTGAGTAATACATTATCAAGCAGCTTTGCTTTTGGTCAAGTTAATCCAGCAACCAATTTGACAATATAGCTCCTTTTCTAATAACCTATGAAAATTAGAATTGCCAAACCATAAATTTCAAAGATATAATGTTATATGTAAAAGCCTTTGATTTTCTCTTTCCTATTTTTAGGTAGATAAATTCAAAAAAATGAAAAGAAATGAACCAATACATTCCAGTATCCAAGAAAATACATTTGTAATACGATTAAAGATAGAAAAGTAAATATATATCTAACGATATAACAACATCAAACTCCATGAGAAAAGAGAGAAAGAAAAAAAGAAAAGAAGAATTAGAAGCACCTACATACATATGGGCACATTTCACATAAATATGCACCTATTGTACCATAACCAAGTAAGGAGCTAAACATTGTAATAGTAATAGATGCATGCACTGGATTAGATATAAGACAATGTATAATGGTACTAATACCTGTAAAAAGGACAATGGAAACTACATAATCCATCTCTCCCATCACAAAGAATGTTACAGTTACATGTAATTATAATAAAATATGGATCATAGCAGGTCAAAGAGATACAGAAAGAATGATGTGTTTGTGAAGAATTCAAGTACTGCTAAAGAGGAATATCATATCTTAACACACATGGTATCAAAGATAGGAAATTAAGTCAGTAAAACCTGCATGTGAATTCCAGACAAGAAAGACATTAGTAGTAAACATTTACTATACCTAGTGTAAAGAGAAATGATCTGACTGCATGTTTTAAAATGGACAAAGGAGTGTTGAATCTTTAATAGCAGTCTCTACCTAAGGAAAAGACATAGTCATATGAGAAGATACACATGTTATATAATTGTATTAAATAGATATAGTGCTGAGTGAACAAAAGATATATGCAGTGAAGATAGCATAAAATGATATGTTGAAGAAGCATAGCACACAACTATGTCAATGACTTAACAGCATAATATATCTTTTAAATTGACAGTTTGAAGAAAAGGAAAAATATATTCTAAAAAAGTACATGTTCATCAAACAACCAAACTCCTCATAATGAATATATGGAATATATCATTAACATTTGAGCCTGGGATCTCTCTATCATTGATGATAGTTACTCTACATTAAATACCAATTATCTTATAGCAAACAGTACAAAATCTACTCACAGAAAATTAAACGAGAAGTCAGATAAAATTACAGGCTCTTATGCAGTCTACAGAGTACTTATTACATATCAAAAAATGCTTAAAATCTTAATTCTGACATCACTATGGGAATGCAGCAAAATCTGTCATAAAAACACTGAAAGCTATGATCAAAATAATAACAGTTAGCAAGGAGGAAAGTGTGCATGTCATAAAAGAAAATGGGACAACAGCCACAGTACCAAGGATTGATACAAAACATCAACAATAAAATAAATCTAATAAACAAAAACAAGACAGGCAATACAATACTCATGTAAATAAGGAGAAATGTGTAGTTCACTTTGAAAGTGAATTATATGGACATCATCAACCAGCTCAAACAAGCAGGAACCTTACACCACCCAACAAAACTACACCACTATTATTGATATAAAAAGCTTTCGGGAAAAGGAATCAAGTAAAACTGGAATACCCTCTACAGACTTCCAGGGGGATTTTCAACAAATTTCCTTTCCAACCCAGTACAATGGCAATCTACAGTTATTACTGCAATTTAGTAATGAACTATTCATCATCATATTACAGCAATGTAAACAGCATACATTTTGACTGCTGCTAATTACTGCATCCAATAAGAAATTCTAACACTTTCCTACAGTCACACTTGCCTATTCCTGTTGAGTGCCGTCTTATGATATACCTCCCTGAAGAAGATTCTGGCACTTCCAGGTGAGTGCCGTAATTTGGCCCCATTGGAGGGTGAAGGAGGTGAGATGGAGAGGGAGTGCTGAGTGAGCGCATCCTTGCCATTTCTGGCTCCGAGGAGTGCGGCACAGGACCCGTATACGATCGTTTTAACCCACTCGACAGAAGATCCATAAAACCTTGAGCATACGAGTTCCATTAAGATATCTATATTTCTTCAATTCAACCTCTTGTATAAAAAAGGACAATCATCTCTTTTCAGAATCAATACCATCACTACAAAAAAGAGAGAAAAGAAAAACTCCCTCTTCAAAAAATGCTTTGCAGGTTTGCCGATGACTGGGAGAAGCAACCAAAGTTCACCAAATTTTTGTCTTCTTCAGGTCACAGTTTGGGAAAGTACACTGCAAATTCTTGTTTTTGTGAGAGAATTCATTTGCAGTGTGCATCATCATTCCATATCAAAGGAAATGTATCTATTGTTTATAAGATTAATAAAAGCAAAGACAAGTGAAAGCAATCTCTGTCTTAAGGAGAAGTCCTGTCTACACTTTAGCCTGAGCTTCCATCTTCATGGAACTCCTTCATAACAGTTCTGGGGAAGACTTTACAGCCACTTACCAACCGAACTGCATTTTAAAATATTCAACTCTACTACAACATTCAGTAGACATAGTGTATTACAAAATTGAGAAAAAAAAGGGAAAAGGAAGACAAATTAATAAAACATGTGTTGTCATGCTACTTGTAAACATGCCCTATTCTGCACTCATGCATAAGCTACCATAAATGTACAATCCACAATATTCAAAACAATATCATTATGTAAAAATAAAATTCATCTTTAGACACAAAAAATCAATAGTGATTGTAAGAGTGAGAATGTAGTCCCAAGAAATTAATGTCAGATATAACTTGCAAAATCTGTGCTAGTTAACAGGCACTAAAAATAATAAAATGATATTGGTGAACTTGCATCAGTTGCTCAAAAAAGCCACATACCCATCTAAAACCAAATTAATAATCTAAGGAAAATGAAACCAATTCAGAACCAATGTCCATGTGATTGTCTTCTCAAGAATATATATCATATAAAGATAGCATACCAGCAACCCATAAAACAGATTAGGTTTCAATTAAATTTTACTCCACCCTGAAAAAAGCTGAAAGAAGGCTATATAAGATGCACTAACTCAACCTTTAGTGTAGTTTCACTTGTATATTAGAAACATAACATGATGTTAGTGTAATTTTGTTAACTCATCACTGAATGATTTCCGTCTGCAGTAATTCATAAGAGATTATAAGATAAAATACCATGCAAGCCTGTGCACTTCTTTGTAAATTAGTTCTAATTTTGTCTGTATATATGTCCTTCTGTGTTGGAAAAAAATCAACTTTCCTTTTCCCTATACAATTTCAATAAAAATATTTATGATCTGCATTCAGAAGATTTTTTTTAAAAAGGAAAAAAAAAAAAAGAAAAAAAAATCTAAAATCCATCCATAAACAAGACAATGAATTTCTGGAGACTAAATTAACAATGATAAACTTCATGCACCACAAGTGCAAACTACAATATACAGACAATCATGAGAATCAGTAACTAAATGGAAGAATCATCATCTAATTTGACCACGCTTCTCATATCTCTTATCAGTTATTCTGTGCACTAGTGCTGGTAGGCCACATTTTTTCTTACCCCCTGCTCCTTTTGTTATTTTGGAAAAGAAATATATCATGGCATACAAATTAATATTTCAATCATCTGGGAAATTACACTAACAATGTTTTGTTATTGATAACTTCTTTACACACATAAAAAAATCTATATTGTATGGGACAAATTCCATCCAAATGCACCTGAAAGTTTTTTCCATTACCCTAACTATGGATATATAAAATATATATATATATATATAATAAGTACATAATAAAAAAAAAAAATTTGACATCTCTTGCTTGTACTCACTTTTAGAGGAAGAATGATTGCGACCAATTTCAGCCAAGCTGCGGATGAGCGGCAGACGGGACATATTCCCATTCTCTTTGTGTTTCTGCTTCTCATACAGATGCTTATGCCTCCGCAAGAGAGCATCACGGAACTGTCAAACACCAAACGTCTTGTTTAGAAACAAATTTTAAAAATCAATTATTATCAGAGTCTTTAAAGGGAACACAAATCCTTTTTCTGTATCACATAACTTTTAGCAACTTATGCCTGGTATGTTCAAATAATATTTTAAGAAATTAATTTATAGTTGCAATAGAAAAAAATACACATGAAAAAGAAACACTATCAACTTTTGTATATTCTCCATATCAGGATCATCTATATAAAATATCTTTTGATTCTTAAAAATCAGTTTTCAAGACATACTGATGAATCTAAAAAGCATATTGAAATAAAGGTTAGAAAATAAAAGTTGTATGAAACCAAGGAGAGCATGTAGCACAAGAAACAGAAGATAAGGAGAAAGAAAACATAAAAGAAAATAAAAATCAACATGTCATTAACACTTGTTCCCTGCAAATATTTACATACTTTTTCCCTTCCATTAAGAGGTAGCTGCCCCTGATTAATCATGTTGTCAAGAACAAGGTCTGCAATGGTGTCCAGACTTGAGGCATCCATATCGAGGATGACTGTTCCATTGAGAAGGAAAGATCGAAGTTCGAAAAGTGAATGGAGGGAGAGTGTTGCCACATGAGGTTTGGACCATCGTTCTCCTCCTTCTTCTACATCCTCCTCAAACTTGATCCATCTGCAAAAATGAAAGCATGGCTTGAATTTTAAAAAAGGCATGAGAGAGAGATCCATTGTATATATACAGATAAATATAAATAAACACATATATATGGTAGGCATATATATCTATCAAATAGTGATACCGCAAGAGACTCGGCCTGCTCTGCCCTCCTACCTTGCTGTTTCCTTCCACTCCAATTCTCCACCTTCCATCTCAATGAGAGTCTCCATCTCACTGAAGAGGGGATGGCTATCATGTGTGCCATCTCCATCATCATCTTCTCCAAGAATAAACTGCACCCTCTGGCTTGGGGGAGTCACTGAAGGAAATAGGTAGTAGTGTATATGATGTAACATTGATTACCTCTAAATCTATTATGATTATAATGGGCAGATACATAATGAAATGTGATGTATATCAGCTATTCTTAAGTATACTATATATGCAATAAAGTTGAAATAGTCAATGAAATATCAACAAATAAGGTAATTCAGAATAATAAAAAAGCTCAATGTAAATGCAAAAACACACATATACAACCAAGAACACAACAGAAAAAACAGACAAGTTTAGGATAAGATGGTACAATTCTTATTAAATTAAACAAATTAAGCATACTGTTCTCTTTACAGTAGTGTGAGAATAGTTTAAGCAGACCATCCATTCCTAAAGTTGTCACAATAGAATTGACAACTGTTAAAAAATGAAGTACACTTCAATTAATCTCATAGCAGTGTAAAATTATATCCACACCATTCCTGCTTTGTGGTATCTGGTCTGAGATACTCAAATATTTAGTAAATAAATTTAAACTACTGGTATTTGGTACACATACACAGATGATTTAATTAAATTTGCATGTGAGAGAGAATAAATGTACTATTAAAAGGCCACTACATCATTTTGCTGGGTATTTTCATCAAACTAAAAATTCAATAAAAACCTCAAGGAAGTAGAAGGGATCAATCTCATCAATAGGGTACCCTGTGGCATTTATATTCATTTATGGTAAATCTCCATGCAATATGTCAGTCAGAAATGCACTCCTATGTTCAGAGAGCTTCCAGTCCCTTACGTCACATCTACATTCATTACACTCTCCACAATGAAAAGAAAACAAAAGGACTCTAATGACAAACAGAAATACGATGGTAGAGGGAGTGATAAAATATTCTTTGATTAATTCTAAATGGGGATCTAATAACAGAAGTCAATGATAATAAATGTGACACAAGAGCTGAATGCCTCCTTGGACCCTCTTCCCCATTCAGGGCTGGCCTGTTCTTGGTGCCTTACATGCGAAACCATCAGGGTTGTTCTCTTCCAGCACTGGTAACACTGAGGAAATGGGACAACCATGAAATTGAACTTCTGTCAATCAATCATCATTCATCATCAATTCTAATTATTTATCACTTTGGTGAACTGGAATATGGAAAGAGCTTTTTTACTGACACAAATTATCTAATGTATAATTTTACATAAACTTTACTTGTATGCCAACACAATAATAGATTCAAAGATTTAAAAAACTGCTATATGCACTAACAATAAAGGAATGTGAATCTTCCATAACATATACTTATATCTATTGCTAAAATTACAAAATCATATTTATATGTTCATGTTTCCATATAATCTTTGCACAATAATGCTTGCCAAAAATTTCATTTAGTATATTTATTCTGTTTTCTGTGACAGTGTTTGATATCATAGAAAAACTGAAGGCCATACCAAGGGCATATATTGAAGGGAAGGAGGTCAGGTTCCAGTAATCCCGACACCC